CCCAAAGCCCTGGCCGTGTTCCTGTGGGACTGCTCTGGTGATCCTGCTCTGGCAGGGGTTGCACTGGGGGAGCTTTCCAGGGCCCTTCCCACTCCTGACCTTCTGGGATCCTGTGAAGAGAAGTCACCAGCGAGGCACACGAGTTGCAGTCACTCCATCAGATCCCACCTGGGATCCAGACCCCCCCTCATCGGCTGCTGGGGGTGGGTGGGGATGCACAGACCCTCCCGGGGGGCTGAGGGGATGCTCTGCTCTGTCTCTGCAGAGATCTGCGGCACGCCTGGCTACCTGGCCCCCGAAATCCTGCAGTGCTCCATGGACGACGAGCACCAAGGCTACGGGAAGGAGGTCGATATGTGAGTGAGATGCCTGCCTTCCCGTGCTCCCCAGACACACGTGGTGCGAGGCACAGCGAGAGTTGTGCAGGCAGGAACCAGTTTGAGTGTTTGGCAGGGATTAAATGATGCACAGAAAGACAAACCTGGGGACCGTGAGGGGTGGTCCTGGTGACCAGGGGGCTGATGAGCCCACGTCCCTGCTTTGCCCCATCAGGGAGGAGAGAAAGCAGCACTTTCTGCTCATCAAAATCAAGACACAGGGTTCTTTAAACGCACCCCAGAGCCAGACAGGAGCCCAAGGCAGCTCCTGAGAGCAGCCAGCGCAGGGAAGCCCAGCAGAGCCCTGCAGGGGCTTTGCCACCACCTCTGGTGGCTTCAGGCTCAGCTCTGCAGTGGTCAGAGCTGTAACCAACCACTGGAAACACACTGGGACATTTCAGCCCCTTCCAAATTTCAATACCTCTGTTAACACCACACCAGGACGCTTTGCACACCACAGCCTGATCCGAGACACCACCATTTCCCACGCTCCCCTAAAAATACCAAGAAAAAAGTAAGAAAGGCAAACAAACAACTCACAGCTTCCAGGCCAGCAGCTCCACAACAGCTCAGCCCAGAGCCCCCAAACCCCTGCTCCGTGTTACCCAGCAGGGCTAACGAGCCCCAGCAGCGAGCTCGGCCTCATCAGGGCAGAGTCCTGGTTCTCCAGGGAGGCAAAGCTTGGTGTCCCCAGTTGGGAGGATGCCCCGCAGCCCCCTCGGGGTACGGATCCGTGGGGGTGCCCCCGGGTGCTGGGCAGGGCTGGAGGGTGCTGCTGGGCCCCGCAGGTGGAGCACCGGGGTGATCATGTACACCTTGCTGGCTGGCTCGCCTCCCTTCTGGCACCGCAAGCAGATGCTGATGCTGCGGATGATCATGAACGGGGACTACCAGTTCGGCTCCCCAGAGTGGGACGACCGCTCCGACACCGTCAAGGACCTGGTAGGTGCTTGGGGATGGGAAAAGCTTTGTGGGAAGGGGTTTTTGCAGACACCTTGGGACACCCCCGGTTGATCTGGTGCCCACCCCCCTGCAGATCTCCCGGTTCCTGGTGGTGGACCCGCGGCAGCGGTACACGGCCGGCGAGGCGCTGGCGCACCCCTTCTTCCAGGAGTACGACGTGGAGGAGGTCCGGCACTTCAGCCCCTTCAGGAAATTCAAGGTGAGCTTGGGTATGGGGGTGTCTCAGCACCCCCAACACTGAGCAGTGGGATGGGGTTGCCCAGCTGAGCTGGGAGCTCAAGGAAGCTGATGGACCTGGGATGCGGCAGCCGAGGTGGAGATGCTGCTCCAAGCAGCATTTTGCTGACTTTGTGGTATTTCCTGAGGGCTTTCTCACAGAATTAAGTAAGAAAAGGGAGCAGCCTGCTATCTCCACAAATCATTGGGGGAAAAAATCAATTTTAGGGGGAACTGATGAGCCTGACATCACACGGGTGCATCAAACGATACAGAAGTTGATAAAACGGAAGTTGAACAACCCCAGGTTCCAGTATAAATTGGG